ATCTACGTCACGTTCCCCGCACCGGCGCCAGTCATCGCGCTCACCGCGATCTAGGCGCGTGTCACCGCGGTCGCCGCCAGCCCGGCGCCATACTTCCCCGCCACTGCGGAGCCGTTCTCGATCATCGCATCGTCGTGTTCCTTCGCTGCTGCCGGTTCGCACTGCGACGATGCCAATGCCAGCGCCTTGTCAGGAGCGCTCCCGGACGCCGCCTATGCCGGAGTCTGCTCCTAGCGACGTGAGCGTGCCCGCAACGGTGACGGATTGGATCGTGGATGCGATTCGTTCGATAAACATTTCGGTGAGATCAAACCAAAATTTTTATATTTCTAATTTTGATCCTAAATTGCATAATATTGATGATTGGTGTGAAGAAGTCGATCGTGCTAAGAGCTTAAACAACAGGAACGCTTACGAATGTCTTTCGCGAATAGGAAACTGTTTGAAGGGAGATGCTCGAACATGGTTAAATGAGTGGGTGACGGGCGATCGTACGTGGAGTGGTTTTAAAAGGAATTCAAACCGTTGTGTCCTAAAACCCCTGATATTGCAAACATTTTGTATGACGTAATGCAGACAAATTCTAATAACTACCCCACGTACGCTGACTATGCGCGACGCTGTTTACTTCGCTTGCGTATAGTACGAGGACTCAGTGATGAACTTATGACCGCAATTATAATACGCGGTATCACTGATCCGCATATTCGAGCATCCGCTACGAACGCAAAGTTACAGCCAAACAATTTAGTTGAGTTTTTCTCAATTTATGTAAAACCCAGTACCTCCAAAAATACTAATATTCGCGCAGTTACATCGCAACAATTTCTTAATAAAAATAAGACCAATTCTAGTGTTATTTTAAGAAAGCGTAGGCTAGATGAGGGAAAATGTTTTACATGTGGTCTTTCAGGACACAGACAGGCTATTTGCAATAAAACTTCTAAAACGAATATGGAATCTAACTCTAATAGCAACAATTCGAATTCAAAGCCGGTATTTACGTCACAAAAATCCGAGCCATGTTCGTTTTGCAAGAAGCTTGGTCACAAAATTGATACTTGTTTCGCCAAACAAAAATCAGAATCACGAAATAAAAGCGAAGTTAATTTTTGCCGCGAAAACAAAACTACCACCAATCGGGATGTTATTGTAGCTGTCATTCAAGGAATACCAGTGGATGTTCTGATAGATAGTGGTTCATGCATATCGCTCGTTTCGTCGTCCTTGTTGAAGCACTTTCATTGCTCTCAAAAACCTACCTTTCGTATATTAAAGGGATCAGGGAGTCAAGAAATAGAAATTACCTCATATGTAACCTTACCTATAGAATTTGATGGCATCACTTTGGAAGTTGATCTGTTTGTGGTAGCATCTGAGTTCATGAATACGCCAATAATAGTGGGAACCGATGTGTTGAATAGGGAAGGTGTACAATACGTTCGTACCCGTGACCTTCAGTTACTGACGCATAAGATGTGTATTACTAGTACAGTTATGACAGTTCAGTCTGACCCGTCTTTTCCAATCAAAACTTCTCTCAGTGACGAGCAGTTACAGCAATTGCTGGCAATCATAAATGAGTTCTCTCGACATTTTGTCACTGGTACTGCGACTTCTACCGTGAATACAGGTAGCATGGCTATTAAATTAAATAGTAATGCTCCTGTCTATTATCGGCCGTATCGTCTCTCGCATGCGGAAATACTTCGAGTGCGGGTCATAATTGGTGATTTGATGTCGAAAGGAATTATTCGGGAATTGAACTCTGCAAGCCCGATCCTCTTATTAAAAAAGAAGGACGGGTCCGACAGGATGTGCGTTGATTTTCGAAAACTAAATGAATTAACCATCAAGGAACGTTTCCCATTACCGCGAATCGACGATTATATAGACAGGTTAGGAAGAAATAAATATTTTACTAGCCTAGATATGGCTACCGGGTTTCACCAGGTCCCCATTCAGGAAGACTCTATTCCACTCATTGCATTCGTTACGCATGAAGGGCATTTTGAATATCTCAAGATGTTTGAATATGGCTTAGCCAATGCACCAGTTGTTTATCAAAGAATAATTGCTAAAACTTTACGTAAATTCATTGATTCTGGTAATGTTTTGGTATACATCGACGATGTTTTGATCTGAAGTATGACCATTGACCAAGGATTAGGCCTATTACGCGATGTATTATTAACTTTAACCCAGGCAGGGTTTTCTATTAACTTACAAAAATGTTCCTTTCTAATCACTGAGATTGAGTATTTAGGCCGGACTATTTCTCAGGGTTAGGTAAGACCGAGCTATAGTAAAGTTAAAGCTTTAGTCGACTCCGTGGAACCAATGAATTTTTTTTTTTTTTTTTTTTATTTATTATCAATAATATTTCACAATTTATAAAATACATTTCTAAGCACATTACAAACCACTAAGATTTTAATCTATGTGCCATAGTTCGCTATATATATATAAGTATTACAATATTATTTGGTCGTTGCGATCCAGCATACACAGAAGTAGCGTTTTTAATTTGTTTTTTATATTTTTTTCGTTAAGTGAGTCTCGAAACTCTTTATTTAATTTATTTATGATTCGGGGTAATAAGTATTTCACAGTGCGAGTGCCATATGTGTTCTGCGCACTTGTTATTACTAGTTTTCCGCAAGTAATCGAACGCGTCAACTTTTCGTGTGCAACTGCTTTTTTTACAGACTCATTAAAATATTCTTCCTTGAGAAACTGGTATAAGAAGAGATCTTTGACGGGTAGTACTTTGCAATGTTTAAAGAGCTGAACGTAGTTTGAAGCAAACTGCTGCCTGATATTAGGTGAAACTATATGTTTTAAAATTCTTATTTGAAGACTATATATTTTTTCTAAATAGGTTTTGTTAGTTCGTCCGTAACTTGAGAGACCATACGTTATTATAGAATTAACAAAAGCATTATACAGTGCCAATCTAGTCGTAAAAGTCATTCGTTTTTTAATAATATTAATATTTGCTAGAAAAGCACGTAGTTTTCCGCATACACGCTCAACATGCGGTCCCCAATTAAAAGCGTTATCGATAACTAATCCAAGGTATTTATGAGTATCTACTGTTTCAATCGGTGAACAATTACAGGACAAGTAGCTTGTTTTATGA